GAGAGAGAGAGAGAGAGAGAGAGAGAGAGAGAGAGAGAGAGAGAGAGCGCATGTAAAGATAATTTAAACATGAACACATGGAAGAGTTTCATTGTGACGCTCTAAAGAGCAAGTGGAAGATCAATGAGCTGCAGACATAAAGAGGACTGTTTATACGGAGGACAAATACAGAGATGTGACATTCAGGCTCACTGGGAACTTTTAATCTATACAAACGCCTTCACTGGTGGGTTTTTAAAAAGCTCTTTTAAACTGAGGCACCGACTCACCTGATCTGACATTGAGGGGGAGTCTGAGCTAAAACAGCAGAAGTACGATCCTCTTTGGTTTTAAGCCTGAACTGTGAAACTTCTAACAGGATCTGATTTTATAAACGGGTTAAAACTTCAGAAATGTAAAGCGGAGCACGTCAGGCTTTAAAAATAATCAATAGAATCCTAAATTTAATTCTGTAGCGGACTGCTTATCTTTAATTATATCTATTATCAATATATTCGTTGCTGATGGAATTAGAAAACTGATTAAAGCTGACATGAACACAAAAAAATATATATTTATTTTTATCTGTTAACCAACAGATGATCAGAGACCAATTGTTTCAGCTTCATTCTGAACCTTTACAGGTATTAAAAAACTTATTTTTTTATGGATTAAAAAGAAGTTGAGCTGAGAAGATTAATTCATTTCTTATCTACAAGTCGATCTCTGCTCTCGACTCTTCCCTGAACTTCACATCTCTACTCAGATTTTAGCTCGATAACAACAGGATTTGAACACTCAGCTTCACCATTTCTTATCAATCTTCTGCGTTCTGGGGCGTCTCTGAAAAAGATCCGTGTCTCCATTAAGAGTGTGCGACTAAATGAAAAGATAAAAACCTCCCCGTGTGGTCAGGACTAAATAAAAACAGGGCTGAGCTCTTGGCTCTGCATAAAGGCATCAGCTAACAGAGTGTAAATGTGCGTCTGAGGGTCGGAGGCCTCCACATACCTCCCCAGGATCTCCAGCAACTCAGCCACCCCGTTGAAGTGCTCCGTCTCATAAACAAAACTACAGAGGAGACGAAAGAGAGGAGACGAAAGAGAGGAGACAGGAGTTAGACAACTAACACCAAAGAGCAGAGGCGGCAAAACAGAGGATTAGTAAACTAACATAATGAATGAAGAGCAGCATGATATATATAGTTATATAAAGATATATTTATTGCACTTTCACATATAAATAAACAGAGGATTGCTTTCACTTCCATGTTGTGCAACATTTCTGTCCAAATCTTTTGGACAGAAATGTTTATCGAATGTTTGGATCAAAATAATACTAATAACCAAAGAAGGTATTCTTTTCGACTGAATTTGATGCATTTCTTGTTATTTGCTGTTTTGAAGCCTCGATTTCAGCGTTTCGGTCGTCGCCGTCTTGGCTTTTTTGCAGCCAGTGAACAGGAAGTGACCATATCTGGACTGAGGAGTGACGTAGAGACGCCGTATACGTCTGGTAGACCTGTCAATCAGTGTGTAGCCCCGCCCTAAAGCATCCCCTGCTTTATGGTCTGTTTGACTCTAAATGGACCATAATGTACTAAATGAACATCATGCTGTATTGAAGAAGACTTGAAACTAGAGATTGAGACCATAAACTCATGTTCGCAATGTTTACTAGATCGATCGAGATAAACAAACTTTTTTTCGTCTACTCACCGTAGAAAAATATTATTGATCTGTTTTCGTATAAAAGCCCTCAGACCCAGGAATTTGCCGTAGATTCTATGCAAGACTGTCTTCAGGTAGTCTCTCTCCCGAGGATCCTCGCTGTCAAACAACTCCAAGAGCTGGAGGAAGAGGAGGAACACGGACGGACGAAAGGACAATCAGCACCAGAGAAAGACACGGAGGAACGAAACGGTGAGACATATGTAGAAGATACGTGAAGCTTCACCATCAGACGCACTCAGACACTCACCTGTAGGACAAACTTCTGGTCTATGTACTTTTTGGCAATGCTGGGCTGGAATTCCTGACTCTCCAAGAACCGGATGAAGAACTCGTATACCAACTGGAGAGGGAAGAAGAAGAGAAGGATGGAGGAAGGAGGGAGAGAGAGAGAGAGAGTTGTTGTTAGAGCAACAAGTGCTAAAATGATCTTTTAATTCACTTGGTGAACCTCTGATTAACTTTGGACACTAACTAGAGTCAAACTTCCTGCTGTACAACAACAAGCTGATTGAACAATTTGAAAACAAAATACTTAATCTGACATGTTCCTCTTATGAGAGCCCACGAACCAGACTGGACTGGATTAAAGAAAGGTCTAAAGGGAGGGTTTATCGAATGTTTGGATTTGTGAGCATGTGGGTAATTAAAAGGATTTTGATCGGGGAGGAAATATATGTTTATAACTTTGGAAAAATTGTGCAAATGAGACAAAAAAATATTAATTAATTAACTTTTTACCAGGAAGCTTCTCCTTGAGATGTACATCTCATCTCTAAAGGAGTCCTGGGCAGCAGGCACACAGAGGAGGATGTTTTCGGTTGCCAGGTTTGGTACCATGGTGCCCGTTCACTGACTAAAAGATGTGCTAACAGAAAGTATCTGGCAACCCGCAATACAGCGAAATGCTGGGCGGATGGATGATAGAAGTAACAAATAACTTCACCGAAAAGTTGTCTTGTGCACCAGTTAAACAAAACAAGATGTGTGTTAATTATGTAACACACACACACACACACACACACACACACACACACACACACACACACACACACACCTGTAAGTGTGGCCAGGAGGCCTCGAGCGTGGGCTCGTCTTCCTCGGGATCAAACTCGTTACTGTCACTGGGCGGAAGGGTCCGGAATATGTTGTGAGACACCTGGAACCAAACACAAGGAGGGAAATGTGAGTCAGCTAGAATCCAACATTCAAATCAACTTTGTCTGTGTGGTCCAGAGGATGGACTTTATCGTGTTTTCAGTAGTAATTCACGCATTGACCTTTTCACTGCTCCCGAGTTCTCTTAAGTGAAGCAGACATCTTACACAGAGCTGTAAAAACCTACAATACTGCCTCAAGATGAACGTGATGTTGATATATTTACAATAGAACTCAGAAACTGACTAAAAAGCATTACTATGAAGCTGCTGTGTGCAGTTTTTCCTTTTTTGCTTTTGCGGGAGGTTTCTTCTAGGACACTCTAGTGTGTGTGTGTGTGTGTGTGTGTGTGTGTGTGTGTGTGGTTGGAATATGGGTCGAGTACACGTTTGAGTGTGGTGAGTTTAGGGATGTGGAGTAAGTGAGTAAAGGACTTCTATATTCCATCACTGAGCCGCCACAAACGAGGAAAGAAACAGCTGTTAATGCAATGAAACTCATTTTCTTAATATTTAGACACGTGAGAGCACAAACACAACGAAGATAAACTATTAAGAGTATGTTTCTAATCCGTTTGTTCTGTACTTGGTTATTAATGTCCGTCAGCTTTGGATTCTAAATAGTCGAGTCAATGTCATCGATTTAAAAACAGGATGCGTTTGGTGTTCGTGTTGAAGCTCTTTGTGGGTTCAGAAATGTAAAGATCAAAGAAAGTGGAGCATTGATTCAGCGACTCTTGTCCCCTGACAGGTTGATTAATGGAGTCGGTGAGAAGGAGAGAAAAAGGTTCACTTCCCAGATTTGAAATTCTTGTCTTCAATTTTCTCTTTTGAATTGTGAAAGAAATCGGATCGTTTCACCTCTGAACCCCAAAACTACACGTTTATCTCAGCCAGACGCTGTAAAAAACAACATAGTCAGATTTTCATCTTTCCGACGGTCTTTGAACACATCATGTGAGACGAACGGAAACATCAACCAAAACGAAGCCAAAACTCTCGTCAAAAACATTTTATTCTACATCCCTCATTTAAAATCCTCTCCCAAATAAACCGTTTGAATTAAACATCATTTGAAAAGCTTTGAATTCTGAACTATGAAGTCATGATTGATTCATCTGAGACCAAAAGTCATGTGACACTTGGACTGAACTGCTGCTGAACACAGAGCAGAGAGGAGAGGCTGCACATAGAGGCTGTAAATGTGAATAGCTCAACACATATAAGACATAGAGCCTCCATTTATTTTCCCAACATAAGTAACACTTACAGATACTTGTTGAAAATGAGATATATATATATATATATCAAAGAAATTTAAGTTGCATTTTTTCTCTCTATGATTTATGGCATTATAACTGTTATTCTATATAAAGTACATTTGTAAGTTCTTTCCACTTCTAGTCATGATCGTTCTGTTTCCATAGAGGTGAAGGACTTTTAGATATTGCAGTGAAAAACAAGGCCACAGATGTGAGAGAGGTGAAAAAAAACAAACACCCCAAAACTGCTTTAGCGTTCAGAGGTTAAGGTGTAAAAATATGTGAGAACTTACACGACATTAGAGGTCCAAACTTTGGGGGTTGCAAATGTGTCTTTTAAGGAGTCACAGTCTAAAAAGTTTGGGAAACACTGGATTCAGGATTCATTTTGGTTTCTGTACAACTTGGGTCTTGAGCTCGCATCTGAAACAAAACCTGACCTCTTTGAGACATTTCTGGGGTCCCCATCTAAAGACCTGTGTGAGCTGCTTGTGTATGTTGAATGCACGTGTTCTTCCTCCTCACCATTTTGACGACCTCTGGGTAGGCCTGCTCTGTCAGGTAGCCCCGGCTGACGGTCACGTAGTCCACCAGCTCGTTGAGCGTGGAGCGCTTGTACTCCTTCATCTTGAGGTCCGACAGCGTGTCCATGAAGTCAAAGACAGTACAGCACTGCTGCAGCTTCTTCAGGAACAGCTCCGGCTGCTCCGGCGCCGGCACGTCTGGACGCACGAAACAAACGCACCCACAGAGAGAGAGAGAGAGCGAGCGAGGGAGAGAGAGAGAGAGGGGAAGAGAAAGAGAGCGAGAGAGAGAAAAGTCTGTTAGAGTGGTGCAGAAATAAACGTGAGGTTTCTGACTCTCATAAGTTTGTCTCGTATTTATTTATGCTGACATGCATTTGTTTATTGTTCATGTTGTCCTTTTCTTTGTGTTGTTGTCTCATAACTAACTTTCTGTGGGGCTTTGGACCACATCAGTGAGTAGTTTGTTCAGTTGTCACCTGACCCAAGTATTTATGTTTATGTTGGTTAAATATTCACATAATATAGTATTTAATTTAACATCAGACTAACAAAACAAGCTATTTGAAAAGGCAGCGCTGGGCTTTATTTTATAAACTAAAATAAAAATGATATTGATCAATAATAAAAAATAATCCAGCAACAATAATGTCAATATTTAGGGAATATTTCCTCCTTGATTATATATATATATCTAGTCCTTGAAAATAATCTCCATTTTAATAAATTTAGAATAATCATCCATTCATCGCAAGGTATATTATATATGTAGAGTAAAATCTCCAGTTAAAGAAACATGTTTGTCTGTCTGGTATCAACAGAAGATGATCTGCATGGTTAGCATGAGCAGCGATAGAATAATAAAAAAATTAATACATTTAGAAGAAAGAAAACTTCTTAAAATGTGAGTGAAGCAGAAGTATGTGCGTGTGTTTGAAATAAAATGTTTGTCAGAGAAAACAAAGGACGCTCAAACACGCCTTCAGACCAACAAGTGAGTTTCCTGCTCAGCCTTTTTACTTATTCATCTTCTCTGTGCGCGGGTAGGACGAGCGCGACAGCCTCATTATGCAGCGCCGAGCGGTTTTTCAGGGGGCTGAGCTGTCACAAACCGTCTGCATATACAGGCGGAACGAGGCAGGTGTTTTCATTCTGATCCCTCAGAGGGTCGCCCAGAGTTCAGACCTGCAGGGAGACGCTCTTAACTGATCCCAGACCCGATGTTCCCGTCCCAGTAGGACCGGGACGTTATTATGTAAGAGATAAGCTGCTCTGTTTGTGTGTGTGTGTGTGTGTGTATAAAGTGCATCGCTCCCAAATTACACTTCAAAGTGCTCGTTTGTCATTTTGAATTCCGCTGCACTTCATGTCGAGTCCCCAAACTGCATACAGATGAGTGAGAAACTTTTCAAGTAACAATGAAATGACTTTTTAACCTCTTCACAATTAGCTCATTCAATCGTTTATAGACGTTACCTCGAGCGCTAGGAAACCATTTTATAACATTCTACAGATCAAATGATGAATTCATCAATGAAGATAGTTGGTAGATCAACGGATGAATAGTAATAAACAATAAACAGCTGTTTATCACTACTTTGGTTTGGTGCTTTAGATCCATTAACCCTCTGAACCCCGAAGACATGCGAGATGTAAAAAGCACATTTTCTTTAAACGAGAGCCAAAACTACATCGTTCATCACAGCCAGAAGCAGTAAATAAATCCTCAGATTTCATATATCCGATCGTCCTTGAACACGCAAGCAACCCAATTATATTTCATCAAAAATACTTTATATTACATGTCTCTTTTAAAATGTTTGTTTACTCCAACTACATACTGTAAAAAACATTAAATTCTGAGCTCGTCAGCGCAACTAGGAAGCCATGATTGATTGTCCTGAAACCAACAGTCATGTGACAACAAATCTGTGAAACCTGGACTGAACTGAAGCTGCTTAACACAGAGAGGAGAGGAGAGGCTGAAGTAGAGGTTGTAAAAATGTAAATAGTTCATTACATAAAGTAAGTGGAGCCTCAGAGAGTTAATGCATCAACTTACAAAGATTGTCCCAGCCAGAGGGGGAAATGAATCAGCCTTTTTTGTTCTAGATCAAATTAAATTCAGCGGGTCAGAAGGAATGAATGGTTAAACCCTTGAAACCCTCCTGAAGCTCTGACCATTCAAACACAACGTGCAGTTTCCTGTTCATGGTGAAACAACCCTCATCAGATCTCATCCAGCGCATTTCAAGTGATTATTGTGAACATCTTCTTGGTCCAAATGCCACCAATTACTCACGACCTGCTGCCTTCAGCTCGGCCACAAACAAACCCAGACCCCCGATAGACTGGCAGGGGTCCTGAGCTCTGCAGGGGATAATCCTCACTGCACTAACTTAGTTGGGCAGAAAACAACCGAGCACATGCTCGCTCCCACAATACCTCGTCATGTATCAGAGCAAAAGCATCGACTTTGAGCAACATTTTTCATTTCCAACTGAGATATTAAATCATAAAGCAACCAGGATGGAACATAATCTTCAATCTGTGGTGGATAGCACCTCACGGTTAACCTGCCAACAACATCAAAGAAGCTCCTCTCTGCCCTGCATGTGATCACTCAGTGCCCCAAATACCTAAAAGAGGAGCGCGGACCAGAATATTAAGGTGGCTGCAAAGTCTACACGTCCTTGGAGGAAGATATTCAGTCGTTTATAGGCTGCCCTGGGTAGTCAGAAAGTCTGTGAATTACCAGAAACCAAAACTGTTCAAGCTACTGTAATCCACACAGACCCAATGAGTGCATGTGAGATAAAGTGACACATCTAGCAGGTAAAAAACCCACTGTGAGCCAGTGGTGACCCTGCATCAGTCGGGCTCTTTCTGTAGCTCTCAAACACACCTAAGACCAGCAATACTTCACCCTCAAAATGACTGTTTGTACATCAATACTGAGAGAAGTCTTGATGAAATGAAGTAAATGAAGGCTGCGTTTAACGACCACAGAACTATATCAAAACATCCGTTTACAAACTCTCACACAACTCGTGCAGTAAAGTCCAAGTCTCATTTATCCAGACATATGCTTATTGCTTCCCAAACACATGCATTTCTGCCAAAATCTTAATATTTATACAAACATCTGCCACTACAGTCTCATGCATCAGACGGTCCAAAGTGTTTGAAATACGTATGTACAATGTAAAACACACACGGCAGAGCTGTAAAGCAAACCATTCTGCACACACTCCAGTGCAAGTATCGGCAGGACTAAACCAGGCTGAGGATGAACAGAGGTCAGTGGATGCTGGAATAGTATCTGAATTATCATAATCCATATGGTGTTTTCTTTGCAGTGCATTGAATATGTGCATGCTACTTCAGTCACGCTGTGGTTCATCACAGTAATCACTCTGCTGCTATAGGAGCATGTGAACAGGCCTTAAAGGAAGCTATTAATAGACAGATAATCACACAGGACACAGTAATCCCTCTGCAGAGACACTGACACAGCACAGCCAACGGGCTCCGAGCGGGGCGCGAGAGTACCGGTGTGAATGTGGGAGAGAGAGAGAGAAAAGAGTGTGTGTAGACTAGAATAACCCAGAAACTACCCTTCACACTCAGCAAGGAAGAACCCTGGAGTGGAAGTGCAACCACCCACCCACACACACACACACACACACCCACACACACACAACTCTGCACAGGATCCTGCAGAAGATCATGTCCTTTACTTGTACACAATAAATACTTAGGTATTAGTACTACTCATGAGTTAGTCCCACTGTTCCATGAACACAGGATCATCTATTTCAATCTCAATCAAAGTTTGAAACCAACAATGAATTTCTTTACTTTTTTACTGTATTTATTATTATTTATTATTTTTCTGTAACACAGGTGCCCGTCTGGGAATCGAACCCTGGCCTGTGCAGTATGTGTTATGTGCCCTAACAATTAAGCTGTTGCGTTGCCTATTTTCATATCTTTTTCAATCCATGTTTTATCTATAAAATGGCAGGAAAAAAAGAACCAGAAGTGACAACTACACATTTCTTGTTCTGTCTGACCAACTGTTTAAAATCCAAACATGACAAATCCAGAGATGATAAGTGAAAATGAGAGGATCCTCGAAATCTCAAACCTATTTGGTTTGTACTCAATAGTGGTTATTAACTAAATAAGACAGACTTCACTGATCTGCTACAGGCTGAAGGTGTGTATGACAAAGTGGTATAAACACACGCTTATGACGTCTATATATCATTTAATAAAGATCGTATACATCTATTAAGTCTTTTCTTTGGGAGCTTCTGAGTGAAATGACTGCTGAATGACTTTCTGTTCACCTCCACTATAAACACGACACTAGTTTGTCACAAAGCAGCTTGTGTTTCCGCCTCAGAAGAGATTCAAAATCACACCGAGGATAACGCGACACATCAAGAAGTTAAACATTCAAAGAAAGGAAACATTTGGATGTTTAGCCGACGGGGTTTTGGAACGTGGCCTCAGTGTCAGCTCTGCAGCTCAAATGTCAAACCACAAAACAGCCATAAATCACCTGAGCTGCTGTCACTGCTGGCTGTTCATGCTTATTCACATATATACACACACACACATATATATGCTTATGAACCAAGCAGAATGGGATACAAACACATACCAGCTGCAAGCAAAGCGCTGACAGTTGTCAAGTTAAACCGGCTTCTTCCAAATCATTAAAAACTCTGTATGTCACAGCAAAGGACGGAAAAGTGAATCCAATAACCACAGGGGAGAAAACCAATTAGTGAATCAAAGCTTCAATATATGAACATGCTTGATCAACTACAATAACCCCATTAAACGGTCTCAAGCTAAAGAAACCTGTAGATGTTTGCATGTTGACAATAATCTCCTTTTTTAAAGAAACTCCAAAGACCACAATGACCAGAGTGATTTGTCAGCTAAACTGAAGCTCTTTCCTGTTTCAAAGTACCCATATCACTGAGGGCATTTACTTTCACCAGCCATCTTTATCCACAAATCCATTTAGCTGCTACAAATGTGATCCTTTTTAATCCGGCGGCCACCAGCGGGCAGCGGATGGAATGGAGGTTGAAAGTGTTTGCCGGTCGCTGATCTACTTCGTCAGCCTCTCTCTGCACGAGCCAGCCGCCATATTCAGGATTATTTATTCATGGCTTCAT